CTTTAAGGATTGTGTTTTGGAAGATTGAGTGTAAAGAAGAAGAGAGAAATTTTTCTCTTCAAAATTTATCTCCCACGGTTGGAATGAAATTATACGTGAAAACCTATTTTTGCTTTCTTTAAATAATGGAGTAAATATCTCTTCCACCCCTCAAGTTAAGCAACAACCCAAACTTTAGGTATAATAGCTTATTAACCCTTATTTAATTATTTAGTTAAATATTAATATAAATATTAATATTAACTCTAATAATTAAATTTTTAATTTTGCTAAATTACTCCAATAATAAAATTGGATATAGGCTACAACCTCAATAAATTCAATTACGCAGCAAAATTACCAATATGCCCATTTGTCTAAAAGACGAATATACCCTTCCAAAATTTACCATCCTTAAACTGTTTTCTAAGTGTATGACCTGTAAGCTCCTTATCATATCAGCAGTGAGTAGTATCGCGATTGACACCAATCAATTGTCGCACTATACATGGACCAAGATTGGCCCCTAGCAAGGCATCATGGCCAGTCGATAGATTTGGATTGAGCGAAATAGCTACCTATCAATGATATAGTTACTGTGCAATCAAATCCATTCATCATCTGTTATCTCATCGAGGCTAGGGCACATAAATAGTGTTAGCCTAAGTTATCCTCGATATCATTGTATTTAGTTACTAGACTAATGACCGGAATAATAAATTGGATTGAGCAATAACTCAATCCCACTGTGGCCATAACTTTAGTCTCATTGCCATTCACTAAATTGCGCCATGAGATAACTTCTCCCATACTTAGGAGTGATGAATCCTCTGTCGATCCACCATAGTCTTGATACACTCCTCAATGTAGCCAATCACTACCGTATGATAGCTCTAAATAGAACTATGTTGGGCTAGTGTCAAACTACATCAATCAATGCACAAGACACTCTGGTGATCTCAAGTCTAAGGATCACATGCACCACCATTCGTTAGTGGATTTGTTCCATAGACATTGGGATTACCATCTATATGGAATCCTCTGGTGGGTTAATCTGGTGAACTTGCCTATAGTAAGCACCCATGCACTACACCAGGTTGTCAGCAAACAACCTTGACAAGCGAGATTAGTCATTGTCTTTCGACAAAGTCATTCAACACTATAATAGCCTTACCGTATTATCTATGTCCTTGTTCAGAATAATACTGGGGCTACAGAGATTTCTAGAATGGCCACCATATGTGATCATAGGGTTCTCACTATCAAGATTTGAAACACTTGATACCCTCATCATGGTTCTACCTTCCTAAGGACATATATCAATACATACCATTATGATTTACAAGATATAGAATAAAATACCTTTTATTGATTAATGAACATTATTACAAATAGTCAATTATACAGCATTTGATTGGCTCTAGGGCACCTACACTAATAATCTCCCACTTGCACTATAGCCAATCATTCTTGTATTTAATACCAAATGACCTTAAGTGTTTTTCATGCTTCTGCTGTGACATAGGCTTCGTCAATGGATTGGCAAGATTGTCATCAGTATGCACTTTACTGATCTGCACATCTTTCCTGTTAACCATTTCTCAGATCAGATGAAATTGTCTAAGCATGTGTCTGGACTTTTAGTGAAACTATGGCTCTTTTGCTAAAGCTATTGCTCCATTGTTGTCGCAATAGACGTCTATTGGATCAACAGTCATGGAGACCACACCAAGTTCGGTGATGAACTTTTTAATCCAGACTGCCTAATGCGATATACTCAGCCTCCATTGGAGAGTCCACTACAGTGCTTTGCTTAGAGCTTTTCTAGCTCACCGCACCCCCATTGAGACAAAATACAAACCCGGATTGCGAATGATAATCATCTTTATCCGTTTGGAAACTAGCATCATTGTATCCTCTTACAGTGAGCTCATCTTCTCCTTCATAAACCAAGAACTTATCCTTAGTCCTTTTCAAGTATTTGAGGATGTTTTTGACAACCATCTAGTGCTGTTTACCTAGATCCAATTGATATCTACTACAAGTGCTTAAAGCACATGAGACATCAATCGAAGTACACAACATGGCATACATGATGGATCCAATTGTTGACGCATATGGGATCCTCTTCATCATATCTCTCTCATCTTGTGTTTTAGGACACATATCCTTAGAGAGATAGACACTATGTGACATTGGAAAAAATCCCTTCTTGGATTCTTCCATATTGAATCTCTTTAGTACCTTGTCAATGTATGTACTCTGACTTAGGCCAAGCAACCTACTCGATCTATCATGATAGATCTTGATTCCGAGGACGTAGGCTGCTTCTCCTAAGTCCTTCATGGAGAAGCACTTGGATAACCCAGTCTTTACCGACTGCAAGTTCGGTATATCATTCCCAATTAGAAGTATATCATTGGCATAAAACACCAGGAATGCCACTGTGCTCCCATTTACTTTCTTGTAAACACAGGGCTTATCTTTGTTCTTGATAAAACCAAATTCTTTTATGGCTTCATCAAAATGACTATTCCAGCTCCTTGAAGCTTGCTTGAGTCCATAAATGGACTTCTATAACTTGCATACCTTATCAGCTTGTCAATCAAGAACAAAACCATCGGGTTGTGTCATATACACATTCTCTTCTAGGTTTTCGTTCAGGAAAGCTGTTTTGACATCCATTTGTCAAATTTCATAGTCATGATATGTAGTAATCGCAAGTATAATCCAGATGGATTTTATCATGGCAACCAGCGAAAAAGTTTCTTCATAGTCAATACCATGAATTTGTTTGAAACCTTTGGAAACCAATCGTGCCTTATAAGTATGCACCTTGCCATCCATTTTAGTCTTCTTCTTGAAGACTTGTTTACACCCTATAGGTTTTACCCCTTCAAGAGGATCTACCAGAGACCATACTCGGTTCTAACACATGGAGTCCATCTCAGATTTCATGGCTTCAAGCCATTTAACGGAATATGAACCCATACAACATCTTCGTAGGTTCTGGGTTCATTGTCTTGATAGACCAGTACGCCACCATGNGTGAGAGAGAGATTATACACTCACATGGCCAAGGGTTCCGAATCCATGCATAACCGAGTCTGATCGGCTAGAATGAGTAGAAGTCACGTAGAGTGGGAGTGAGTCTCGGCCGTGCCTCCGGTAAGATGAGGTCGTGACTACTAAAGAGCGAGTTAGTAGAAATGATTTATGAGAAATGAGAATGAGATGATAGAGAGAATTACAGAATGAGAAAGCTTGAGAAAGCTTGAGAAAGAATGAGATAGAAAGAGAGAGAGAATATGAGAAAGAATGAGAGAGTTTGAGTTAGTAAGAATAGAGAGTAAAAGAAAGAAACATGCAACTCTTGTGCATTAATTGCATGAACCTCTCATACATGCATGTACCATGAGTTCTTCCATGGTTAGTGAGAGTATAACGAGAATAAGAGAGAGAACCATGATTTCCCTTCATGGTGAGTATGACGAGAATAAGAGAGAACCATGATTGCCCTTCATGGTGAGTAAGAATAAGAGAAGGAGAAAAGAGAATAAGAACAGAGAGAAAGAAAGAATAAAAAGAGCAGAACAAAGTTAAAGGAGAATAAGAGTATTAGAAAGAAAGAGAGGATCAGTGAGAATTAGAAAGAGAAGAACGGTAGAGTAAGGAAAGAACCAAAGAGTGAGTTACAGGGATAGGTAGTAGAGGACTTACTTACTGAGCATTGTTGTGCTCACCCCGTTGTTCTTCTCTGTTTTGCAGGAAATAGGAGCAGCGGTCGGATGGATGTCGAGGAGCGAAGAGTATTGGCACCACTGTCCACCAGCTATGATATCTTGTATTAATTAGAAAGTTTTTAAATACATAGTCTTTTGTATTTGTAAAGAATTTTATTTTATGAGTAAAGAAAAATTTGAGCCCACTATTTTCCACACGCTATGTATATCTATAATTTACGTAGTATGTATTTTAAGAATAGCAGTAAAGAGGAGGTGTTACAGAAGATTAAACAGGATTGAGGTGATGGCTAGAAATAATTACATGAAACCTTCGGAACAAAATTTTCCAAGGAAAGTAGGGAGAGATCATGAGGTAGATGGATATACTTCTTTGTCCGCTCAATTTACAACCATACCAAAGCAATTGGGTGCTGTTAAAGTTAATGCCATCAATTCTCCTAGGTTAACTTGTGAATTTTGTGGGGGAAATCACTTGACTAGAGATTGCCAAGTAGGAAGTCCGTTTGCTCGGCTTGAACAAGTAAACTATATCAATAACTTCCAACGAGGGCAAGGGAATCCGTACTACAACACTTATACTCCAGTATGGTGTAATCATCCTAATTTTTCTTGGAGTAATAACGATGATCCAAAGTCACCTCCCAATTTTCAAGCTCAAGAAAAGAAATCTAATTTGGAGAATATGCTCTTATTGATGAGTCGAGCAAGTGGTTTGAAAAGAATGAAGTTCTTCTCCAAAACCAAGTTGCATCCATTAGAAATCTTGAGACTCAAATGAGGCAAATTCATAATAACTTTTGGGAAGAGTTCAAGGATTTTTGCCTAGTGATACAGAGAAGAATCCTAAGGAGCAAGCCAATGCTATTACTTTAAGGAGTGGTGAGCTGTTGGAGGAGCCAAAATTGGATGAAAAAGTTGAAGAAAAAGAAGAAAACTTGAAGTTGGGCAAAGAACTCAATGCCACGACGAACGAAAATGAATGTCGCGACATAGATGATAAGGAATACCAATGTTGATGCATAAACAATTCATGTCGTGGCAGGACACAAGAAACTGGGAAAACTACAGTTCCTTTTTCTCATGTCAACGCAAGATTGGAACCTACTTTTCCGTTTCCTCATAGATTGAAGAAGCAAAAACTAGATAAGCAATTTTCTAAATTCATGGACATGTTTAGAAGCTTACACATTAATATTTCTTCTGTAGATATGTTGGAGAAAATGTCAAAATCTAAAAAAGATCCTCACTCGCAAAAGGAAGTTTGGAGAACACGAGATGATCAGGCTCACTAAGGAGTGCAGTACATTGCTTCAAAAGAAACTATCACCTAAACTAAGAGATCCAGGGATATTCCTTGGACTAGTGGTAGTTGTTTTGTTTGATAAAGTTGTATGTGATCTAGGAGAAAGCATTAACTTAGTGTCATTTTCTATTTACAACAAACTTGGATTACGGGAGGTGAAGCCAACTATGGTTTCTCTTCAATTGGCGGATAAATCCATAAAACATCCTAGGGGAGTGGTGGAAGATGTCCTAATAAAGGAAGAAAGACTGATTTTTCAGGTAGATTTTATAATTTTAGACATGGAAGAAGATCGGGAAGTACCTTTAATTTTAGGAAGACTTTTTCTAGCTACGGGTGGAACCTTGATAGATATTCATCAAGGGAAAATAATCTTAAGGGTGAAAGATGAACAAGTGGAGTTCAATGTATATGGTGCTATGAAATATCCATCCGAGTTAGATACTTGTTTTGAAATTAGTATTCTTGATGACATAGTAGTTGAAACTTTAGAAGAAAACTACCGTATTTCACCCTTAGGAAATTGTTCAGTCAACTCTAGGATTAAGGAGGATGAAATTAAGAGTGAAGAGATAAGAGAGTGTTTAAGCTACTTAAATGTTCTACCATCATTAGAGACTCCATATGCCAAGAGATTCAAAGAAATTGGATTTGTGGAAGTTCAATCCAATCCACCAATCAAAGAGTTGCATACACTTGAACTCAAGCCATTACCGTCTCACTTGAGATATGCATTCTTAGAAGACTCTAAATATTTTACAATTATTATTAATGCTTCTTTGAGTGATCTAGAGGAAGAAAAGTTACTTCGAGGGTTGCGACAATACAAGAAGGCAATCGGATGGTCAATTACGGACATAAAAGGATATAAGTCCCTTAATTTGTATGCACAAGATTCTCATGGAGGATAGCTACAATCGTACCATTCAACCACAATGAAGACTGAACTCATCCATGCAAGAGGTGGTTAAGAAGGAGGTTTTAAAGATTTTAGATCTGGGAATCATTTATCCAATCTCGGATAATGCATGGGTAAGTCTAGCTCAAGTAGTACCAAGGAAGGGATGAATGATTGTGGTTCAAAATGATAACAACGAACTTATTCCAATGAGAATGGTCACGGGATGGCGAGTGTGTATCAATTATCGTAAACTAAATGCCACAACTTGCAAGGATCACTTCCCGTTGCCATTCATTGATCAAATTCCAAAGAGGTTAGTGGGTCATGCTTTTTATTGCTTCCTTGATGGATATTAGGGGTACAATAAAATTGATATAAGGTCGGAGGATCAAGAGAAGACCACCTTTACATGTACATACGAAACTTTCGCCTACGAAGAATGCCTTTTGGGTTCTGCAACACTCCAACTACTTTTCAACATTGCATGATGTCAATTTTCTCGGATAAGATTGAAAAGTCCATTGAAGTATTTATGGATGATTTTTCAGTTTTTGTTGATTCTTTTGATGAATGTTTGACTAATCTATCTTTGGTTTTACAGTGATGTGTAGGCACTAATTTAGTTTTGAATGGGGAGAAGTATCATTTTATGGTACAAGATGGTATTGTGTTAGGCCTAGTTAGTAAATACAAGAATTTTACGGGTATAATATGGCAAATTGTGACAAATACGTTTATAAAAATTCGGCCATAAAATTCGGATACAGGAAAAATACGATACGGATATATATGGGTTTAATACGACATATTGTCAATAATAAGTTTTGAAAAATACAACAATAACAATCTTGGTTTTAACACTTTTCAAAACATCCTGATTTAAATAATCCATTGTCGTCGACCCTACAATTTATTTTCCTTTTTATTTAAAGTATACTTTGAACAATAACTAAGACTAGTATTTTTATCCATAATTTTACAGCTACACATACAAAATTTGGATTCCAATTAGTGTAGTTGTTTTATTTTTTGAATTTTATGTTCTGAATTTAATTGGATAGTGCATTCAAAGGTCACATAATAAAAGTATTATGAAATCTAAAAACATGATAAATTAATCAGAGGTTGCAAGCTGATGGTTTGTTCTCTTTTTCTTCTTCTTTAAGTATCTGCCAATTCCAAATCCAAGCTCGACAATATTATTTTTATGAATTCATGCTTTTCTTTTGCAATTTTGTCTTTACCTTTTACTTTCACATATGATCTTTAGTCTTTTTATTTTGACCCATACAATAAAAAACTAAATGGAATATTATGTTAAAATGGATACCAAATATAACTCTCACAAGCATTTCATCAAACATGTTTCAAATAAATCTATCAATCCACCAATATAACAAATCCTTCAATCCATCAGCCCCTACTACTACTACTTACACACCAGCACAAACACAAACAAATCACCAACATACGAGATTCAAAGAGAGTTAAAAAGAGAAGAGCAGAAGTGTGTAGCTTGAGGCTTGAAGAGTTGAAGTCTTGGACTTAAAGCTTGGAGAAGAGAGTTAAAAAGAGAAGAGAAGGAGAGATCCAGATTCAAGAGCAAGAGATGAAGAAAACAAAGTTAAAGAGATGAAGATATTTGATAGTTGAATTGTTGAAGATTTGAAGAAAAGATGAAGACTGTCGAAGAGAGAACTGAGGAAGAGGAGAAGAAGATTTCCTTTAATTTTAGTCAAACCCCACCAAAACGATGCCGTTTTGCCTTATCATTTAATGATTTTTTTGCCTGCAAAAATTGGCAATAATTTGCGTATAATTCGTGAATTATATGGCAGCCTTGATAAAATACGTGAATTCGTGTATAAAACACGAATTTACTAACTAGGGTGTTAGGTCATCGCATATCTGCAAACAGAATAGAGGTAGATCATGCGAAAATTGAAGTTATCAAGAAGCTACCACCTCCCACTTCTGTGAAGGTCATTAGAAGTTTCCTCGATCATGCCGATTTTTATAGGATATTCATAAATGACTTCTCTAAAATCTCTAAACCTCTTTGTGATTTATTAGCTAAAGATGTGCCTTTTAATTTTACTCAAGAGTGTTTAGATGCATTTGAATGCTTGAAGTCCAAATTAATTTTTACTCCTATAATTGTTACGTTTGGTTGGGAACTACCTTTTGAACCTATGTGTGATGCTAGTGATTTTTCCATAGGGGGTTGTTTTAGGGCAACGTAAACATAAAGTATTACATGTGATATATTATGCTAACAGGACATTGACAAAACCTCAACTAAATTACGCCACAACTGAAAAAGAGGTTTAACGGTAGTTTTTGCTATTGACAAAATATTGTTCCTATTTGTTAGGTACCAAGGTCATTGTCTACATCGGTCATGCCGCATTGAAGTACCTACTAGCAAAGAAGGATTCCAAACCAAGGTTGTTGCAATGGGTATTTCTTTTACAAGAATTTGACTTTGGAAATCCGAGACAAGAAGGGAACTGAAATTTAAGTGTAGACCATTTATCTTGACTTGAGTCTAACAAAGAAGATCAAAGGGAGAATATGCCAATAAATGACTATTTCTTGGATGAGCAATTGTTTTTCATTCAAGAAGGTCTGTGGTTCGCCAACATTGCTAACTACTTAGCAAAGAAAGTTTTGCCTCTAGGGATGACATACCAAAAATGCAAGAAGTTCTTTTTCGACTGAAGTTCTATTTTTGGGAGGATCCATTGCTATACAAGCATTATGTTGATCAAATGACAAGAAAATGTGTGTCTTAGGAATAGATGGAGAACATTCTTCATCATTGTCATTCCTTAAAGCTGGTGGCCATTACAGTGCAACAAAGACGGTTGCCAAAGTGCTACAATCAGGATTTTTTCGGCCCACTTTTTTTAAAGATGCTTTTAATTATATTATGAGTTGTGATGAATGTTAAAAAGTTGGGAATATATGTAGGAGAAATGAAATGAATTTACATAATATTTTAGAAGTAGAATTATTTAATGTGTGGCGCATAGATTTTATGAGACCTTTCCCCCTCCTCGTTTTCTAATCGTTTTATCTTGGTTGTTGTAGATTATATCTCAAGATGGATGAAAGTTGTAGCATTTCCTACCACTGATGCTCGAGTAGTAGTCAAGTTTGTGAAGAAGAATATTTTTATAAGATTTGGCACACTAAGAGCAATTATAAGTGATAGAGGCTCCCACTTTTGCAACCGTCAATTCGAGACATTGCTAAGAAAATATGGGGTTACACATCGCGTTGCCACCCTATAGAATCCGCAAAAAAAAATGGCCAAGTGGAGGTGTTTAATCAAGAGCTGAAGAGTATTTTGGAGAAAACGATGAATGTTTCTCGGAAAGATTGGTCAAACAAGCTTGATGACGCTTTGTGGGCATATAGGACAACATAGGCCTGCATACAAACCAAGTCGAGCCGAACACCTTCGGGTTCAAGTTCGGTTCGTGAAAATTTGATAGAGTTCGAGTTCGAGTTCGAGTTCGAGTTAGAGTTAGAGTTCGAACTTGTCAAGCCTAGGAAAACCTTGTTCGACTTCAAACCCGAGGAATTGACAGAAGTTCGAGTTCGATTCATTTGTTATCAAAGTTGTGTTCGAGCTCGAGCTGAGGCTCAAATTCGAGCTCAAGAAGGAGCTCAAATTTGTGCTTGCATCTGAGTTCGAATTCAAGCTCAAATTCGTGTTCCATCTCAACCTGTAATTGAAGCAATTTATTCACATTTAGTTTTAAAATCAAATTTCCATAAGCTCCAAATTTCCAGAATGCATGATCAAATTTAAAAACAAATTACACTACCTGATTGCAATTGCATCATCAAACTAAACAAAACAATGTTAATCAAGTACTCAGCAGCACTATAAACAAGTTGAAAATTGCTCCGAGTAGGCTTTTCAGATCAAATTTACACAACACAAGTTACATAACTGCACAAGTAACACAGCCATAAGGCCTGCTCACAAAAGAAACCTCCTGCATCATGTAAAACTTCGGTTGTATTCTCTTCCTCCATGTCTATATCAAAGTCAGATGACGTAACAAATGTCTCAGTACCACAAAAATAACAAAACTTCATCAGTTGTCTCATCTAAAAGAGTGTACTGGAAGGTAGCTGCATGCAATTGCAAATGGTCAAAAATAACTTCATCGGTTTGCCCCTCAACCTGTAACAATTAAATACTATTATTTGCAAGATCCCACCATTTATTCACCAAAAACCAAATGAAATGGCAACATCCAAGTTTTTATCCATCTCAATATGAATCAATTAAACCAAGCAAACAGTTACCTACATTAAAAAACTATACAACTCGTAAAATTACAATGATTTATATATGTAAATGAGAACTACATGTAATTTATATCCAATAAAAAAAACATTCAGAATTTCAAAGACCCCATATTTAAAATTAGTAATAACTATTAATACCACCCAGGCAGATAAATACTAAATTCTCACAGTATGAACCAAGCAAAACAAGCCATCAAAACTGGGGATGATAGCAAACATAAACATGACAGGGAACATAAACATGAACAACAACTCTTCATGCGAATTCTTAAAAAACACAGCTACATAGCCAAACAAAACAAGCCACAATAGACCTAAACAACAGGCAGCAAAAACAAGTTGAAAACCATAAAGAATGCAACTAGCAACCTTCTGAAAACAGACGCAACAACACTTTCCTAGCTGTAGCCCAACACTCCCAAAAAGCTATCACAAAGAGAGGAAAAAACCTCCTACAAAAGCATTAAAAAGAACACCAACCACCTGCAAATCCATAAAAGGCAACAAACCAAATAACTTCCTCAATTCCCAGAGCAAACAACACTGACAAGCATCTAGCAACTCCAACAAAAACCCAACAATTGGCCACTGCTACCCTAGAAACTCACAGCACCAGATCACCACCAAACACCTTCCAACACAAAACACGCCTGATCCCAACCAGAAGCAAACATATAAACA